CTGCAAACCTCTCAATTTGCCTTGTGAGTAAAATAAATCATAGTCACATTTCTGTTGCAGGCAGACAAACCCATTGCCTGCTACAGTGAATTTTTTTCTGGGTGCTTCTCTGTCTTCCCTTTATATTTTGTTTTTTCATTTAGCATGGATTACTTTTATAATTTGGAAACTGTACTAGGAATAAAGAATACTTTGAAAGTTGGAAAACTAAAGAAAAAATGACAGTAATCAGGACAGTAAAGAGAGTTTCGTGGAGGACACAAAATTTATAAAGGGTCAGTCTAGTTTGCGATAATTTAATTTGCAGAACGACAGCCATTAAGTGTAACCAAGACTGAGATTTATAAAACTATTAAAAAAAGGGCTGCTTGGACAACTGGGAATTTATGGTCCTGGGTTACAGAATCAACGTAACGTGTGAAAGCTGACCGAACATGATCCGGGAGCTCTGGGCAGTGCGATGAGCTGATGGTGACTTTTTTCTGGCAGTTGTTGTTATTAGCTGCTGTGATTCACGGTGACCCGCGCACAACGGAACGAAATGCTCCCCAGCTTGGTGCCACCCCCATGATCGGTTGAAGATTGGACCACAATGATCCATAGGATTTTCATTGGCTGATTTTCAGAAGTAGATCACCGGGCCCTTCTTTCTAGTACCTTTTAGTCTAGAAGCTCTGCTGAAACCTGTTCAGCATCAGAGCAACACTCAGGTGGTAACTGCGCATGAGGTGCACTCATCGGGAATCGAACCGTGGCCTCTCACATGGAAGGTGAGATTCTACCACTGAACCAACGTTTTCTGCAGTTAATGGGCCCCCAATAAGAACCTAACCCCATAAAGTGCAAACCCAGAGAAAACGAGTTCTGGCTTCTAAACATGGCATTGAAATTCCTAAACCTATTGCAGTCCCGTTAAGTTCGCACCTCCTTGCCAAGACTCTCTCTGATTAATGCTATGTCTTATAAATGAATTTTCAGATCCTTGCTGATGTTGTCAAAGGCCCTATAGTTTCCAAGCTTCAAAGAATTTGGTCTGGGCTGAGCATCTCCCTACTGTGCAGGACACCCCATGAGCCTCTGGGTTGTGCAGCAGCAAAGTACAAAACAAGGCCGCTGTCTTCTGGAAGTTTCTCACCTGGTCAGGCAGGCAAGGCATCTACAGATAAAACAATTAGAGTATGCAGGCCTCCACGTGTGATGTAGTCTGTACCGAGAGAATAAGTCAGGGAGGGAGCAAAAGCTAAATGCATCTGAACAATCAACCCTTTATTTCTGTAACAAAGAGACAACCAGTACGACATTTGATTTTAGGAATTTATTATTTTCTTAAAAAAAGCAACTTTCAGAGTTTGTCATTGTACAGGTTCAGCCATGTCTCCTATAGCATGGTGCAGTGATAACTGATTTTTATAACAACAACTCAGAGGCACGAAGATCCATAACTGTCTTTTGAATTATCACAGAAAGAAGAAAGATCTAGAAGAGTGTACTGTTAAGTGCTTTAAAAAAAAAATCATATTCTAATTCTTTTAAATTGGCTAGCCGAGTATGATATATAGTAGAGCTCAAATAACTAGAAAAGGCAATTGCCTAGAACACCCCATTCCCCCTCGGTGTGCATTAACAGTTTTACTGCAGATAACTTTATATAGTTTGCAAACTCATTCAACCCATTGCGCACAGCATTAATTTTTCCTCTTTTTGATTTGGCACTAGGATAACACTGTTGCTCATTTATCTCCTAATTATTTTTTTCTAGTTCTTTGATGGATTTTCCTCCATCTGACATAGTGTTTGGACTTGAGTGTACAAGATACTTCGAGATCATCTCTGCCCATTCTACTGATATTTACAATGAAGTTATCCCTGGCCAGATCTCTAAGACTATTAATTTAGCCACCAGCTCTGTTCTTGACCTTGGTAAGGGAGAGACCTTGTGTCTCGGTGGGGTGTGTACCAACCTCCAGGCCAGCAACTGTATGTGAGCCGGTTGAGAACAGAGGGGGCCATGGAACCCACGTTTCTCATTAATGCTGTGCAAACAAGGGTCTCGTCGCTTCCGTAACTATTTGTACATTTATAAAAGCAATACAGTCATGGGAAAAACCAACAAGCACAGCTTGGTAGAATAACCTGCCATGAAATATCATTGGCTTTATAATAATTTACTACAACTGTTCTTTTTATTCACACTGGATAGAAAATGCTTCCATCTAACACATGGAATACGAATATATACAACGAAAATTTGGTTTTTATTAAAACAAACAAGTTCAGAAGGACAATTACATGGGGGTTGAAAAATAATTTTGTGCAGTTTCCTGATCACAATCATATGTCTTCTGCCTTTTACAGGGAATGACACAAGTACTGATAGATTTTATAAACCAGTTAAATAATTTTCCTGACTGTTATCACCTACTAGTAAAATACTGCCTTGTTCACACAGTGTATAGAAGTTTCTCCTTCTCAACTGTAACTCTGAATTACTAAGGATGACACAGTGAGTGAGTTTTAAGGACAAACCCTGCTAATCCTCTACAAAATCGTCATACATTTGCAGTTCCCTATCGCATCAGAACACCTGACCAAAACAGCATCCTGGAAACTGCACAGGGCATCTGGTTGCCACCCTGTTTGGATCCTGAATTTTGCATTCTCACCTGATGCCCACCATCTTGGTTTGAACTTTCCCATGGCAGCAGTGAGCCATGCTACAATGGTGTGGGGTGGACCGTTTTGTACTGCCAGCAGTCAAAACGGTTGTGATGGGCTCAAAGTATATGCTGTGAGCCTGGGGAACCCATTTTCCTGTGGAATGGTTTTCTGGGGCCTAGCAATGTCACTGCAGGTGATCGAGACATTCTGGCTCCTGCTTCATGAAGGATTATACTAAAGAAGAAGACTAGTGTTCTGAAAATAGACAATGTGACAGGGTGGAGACTGAGGAGGGGGGAGGTTGCTTTCATGAGTCCTGAAAACCATATCTGCTTTAGCTCTGTGAGAAGGCCAGGAGATTCTCTGGGAGTAGCAGGTATGGGGGAGAAGGGCTGGGTCTGAGGAACACTTGGACAAGTGTCAGTTTGGCATTGGCTCTGCAAATTTGGTGCCTATGGTCCCCCACTAAGGCATTTTGCCTAGATCTATTTTCCCTGGACTGTACCTTTCATGTCCCCGGGATTCCCCATTCTCCACACAATCGCTGTTTTTTTTTGCTTTTAAGGTAAGGATGCAAAATAGGGTTCATTTCTTGCTCTCAATTCTGACTGATGGGTGGTGGTTCTTTGCAGCTGTGATTTGAGAAGGATTGTGAAGAAATATTTGGGCTCAATGGGAAAGAGTGCCATGATTGATAAGCAATGTCTGCCATGGGTACAAGGATAGGCCTTGGTAGAATTTGTGCCATGCCATTACAGCCCTGAGCTGAGAGGGGGATGATGGCTTGATGGGTTCTTCAAAGGTCTTTGAAGACCGTAGCCCAAAACATTAAGTTTATATTTTATATTCTGTTTTGTTTCAGAAAAGATGCCAGAATTTGAGGGGGTATATGGATAGGAATTTTAGGTCCTGTGAAAAGCTGGAGGGGGAGATAATTTTGAACAGGCTAGTTAGCAGCAGGCCCTCAACAATGATCTCTGTTTTCACCCCTGGGTAATGAAGCCCAGTGTTTAGAAAGTGACTATAGGGCTTATGGTTAGACACAGATTCAGAAAGGCTGGAGGAAGTGCGTGGTCCCAGCCTTGGTGGGAACTTCAGGCAGAGCATTTCTGGGTTGCATATCTAAGGCATTTCACCTTGGTGAACAGCTAAGCATATTTGTGAGCATGCTGCAAAGCCAAGGACAAAGATATCTGCATCCACACCTGCATGCCCTTTTTTCTCTGATTAATCAAAGGACCTGGGACAGTTTCCTTCTTATGTCAGGACCAGTGTGTCTCAGCTCTACCTAAAAGTCTCTGGCACACACTTTACCAAGAAAGAAAAAAACATCAGTGAGATGGTATGGCAGGTGTTAATGATGCCATTTTGGAAAGACAAACACATGGCTGTCTCTAAAAAACAGGGTCAATCACTTCTTCATATTTTAGGTGATTTAAACCAAAGCCAAATTTTGATTTTTAACATAACTTATTGACAGGTTGCTCTTTGACAATGTCACTGTCTGTTGATTTAGGGGACCATGTCTGGCCAAAGCCAGCCACCTCTAGCTGCTGATGGCCTGTGGGTTTTAGAAACTGTCCGACACTCCCATCAATACTCCCCGTCAATGCACACAGCCGATTTCACTTACACATCAACATGGCAACATACCTTTTTCCATCAGTAAACACGCGCCCTCTTCCTCATTTGGAAACTGGGAGAATTTGAAAGAAAGATAAGCACATTGTTTTACTCATCTGCAAATCCCAGAACATTCTTTTGACAGTATACCTGTCTGATGTTGAGTTTCTTGCCATACTGGGACCCCGACTTTTCCAAAGCTGTAGACAATGGGTTTCTGCCTTCACGGGTGGCACAGAGGGGCGAGAATTCCTTGGTTCCTAGGCCAAGGATCCCGGGTCAAGAGATCAAGATGGAATGGAGGAAGGAAGGCAGCATTCAGAAACCCAGCAATGTTACTTCTTTTCCAACTCTGTTTCACTCTCAGAGAAGATTTTCTCACTGCTCTCCATGAGACGTAATTCCATTTAGAGCATCTTGGCAGTTTCACTGTCTCTGGAACCTTCTAGAGGTGATGGACCACTGGCTATAAATGTGACTGTAGTTGCCTCATCATTTGTTTTCAGGCAATTCGAAATTTCGATTTCTTTCCGCGGATCACCACTGCCGGCGTACTGGCATTGCAAACGGATTTTTGAAGTGTGTGAACGTCAGTGGGCTTTGTCCCCACTCATTTCCGAAGTGGAAGCCTCCTCTAAATGGAAAGACTTGTTCTAATACCACAGAGGAGCCCCCTCCCCAAAGTTTCTGAGAGCGCCCAGAACACGAAATTTTGGGTTCTAGACGGAAGGCCTAGGAGGGGGTCGGGAGGGCGGTGGTGCCCTGCTGGGGGGTGGAGCCTGAGGAGGAGGGGGAAGGGTGGAAGGTGGGGACGGGACTGGAGGGGTAGGGGCGTTGGGGGGTGGAGGGGGGCAGTGGGGAGCGGGGGCTGGAGGGGTGTAGATGGGGGCAGGTGGCGGTGAAGTGCTGTGGTAGGCATTGTTGAGGGGGTACTTGGCTGGCGGGTTGTTCTTGACTCTGGTGAAGTTGATGCAGCGCCCCTGGAAGACAATCAGAGAGAAGGAAATGTGAGCGGATGTTTGCCATGACCTTAAAACCAGGGCAGGTAGGAAGTGTGGGGGGCCGCTTGAAGGAAATATCTGGAAGCAGCTCTGCTTACAATGATGCTATAGTGGACTACAGTAGAACTTGACAACAAATAAGCTTCCCTCGTCTGGGCGGGTACCGGCCACCTAGGTACCTGCCTCACTTCACATTCCCCATGTCTGTGGGGTACTTCACTGTTCTCTCCGTGAGCATCCTGGATGCCTACAGAAACCCTCCGGAGGAGTCTAGGTGGAGCCACATAGTGGGATGCATGGCGTTGCCAGGAGTCAGAATCCACTCATGGCAACTGTTTTTTTTTGGTTTACCTGGATCTAGCACTACTCAGAGCTGGAGTGTGGGATTTTTTCTGGCCTCACCCTCCAGGAGGGCAGCTCAGCCTGTGGTGTCCAACCTGAAACCATATGCCCAGGAAGGCCAGGGTTTTCCTTCTAGGTCTTTTGGGAAGGGTCTGAAGGGGACAGGGAGGGTGAGACTGGAATTTCAGGAACAATTACCTCTAGGACAAGAAGGAACCAAACCAAACTTGCTGTTTTCCAGTCGATTCCGAATCACAGTGACCCTACAGGAGAGAGTAGAACTATCCCACAGGGTTTCCAAAGAGCAGCTGGTGGATTCGAACTGCCAACGTTTTGGTTAGCAGCCGAGCTCTTAACCACTGTGCCATCAGGGCTGCAAGAAGGTACTAGAAGTGTGTTATTTGAGAATCATAGCAGGGACAGAATGAATGTCTGTGGAAGGGGATGAGGACCAAGCTAACCTGTCCTCACCTGTGCACAGCCCACTCATCCTTCAAGTCACAAATCAAGTCCCTTTTCCTGCACACATTTCTCCGGATGACTCCAGCCTCCATTTATCCTTTGCCCTTCCCTGACTTCTTCTCTAGGTACAGGCTACACGACACATTGAGGCCTGAGTACTGTAGGTGTTTTTTCTGTCCAGAAGACAGTGGCCATTTTTTGTAACTTGCTGCCCCAACACCCAGAGCCTCACGGGTTGTCCTGCATGGCAAGGAGACTCTGTCACAACCGAGTTGTTTGAAGCTACTCAGGAAACAGTAGGACCTTTGACAACATCAGCAAGGAACTAAAAATTTATTTATAAGGCATAGCATTAATCAGAGCAAATCCTGGCAAGGAGCTCCAAGCCTAATGGGAATGCAAAAGGTTTAGGAATTTCAGAGCCATGTTTAGATGTCAAAACCAAAAAACCTGTTGCTGTGGGGTCAATTCTGACTCCTAGTGACCCTATAGCACAGGGTAGAGCTGCCCCGCGGGGTTTCCAAGAAGCAGCCCCATGTTCTCCGGGCTTGCACTTCCTGAGGTTAAACCAGGACCTAACTGTGTTAGGTTCTAACTGAGGGCCCATTAACTGCAGAATAAGTCACTATCATCTCATTGCACTGCCCAGAGCTCCCAGATCGTGTTCAGTAAGCTTTCACGCATCATGTTGATTTTGCAACCCAGCACTAAATTCGCAGTTGCCCATGCAGTCCCCCTTTTATAGCTTTATAAATCTAAGCCTTGGTTACAGTTTAGTTATGATTCTGGATAAAGCTCTTTCCTTCAAGATGTTAACGTCCTAACGATTACCATCTGTGATAAATTCCTGTAATGGACAACTCAGAGTAAGGATTTACTGTACTACCTACTCTTCCCTTTGTTCCTAGATGTGCTAAATCAGACCAGGAGACTCAAGAGACTCATTTCCTTTAAAGATGAAGGAAAAGTCTGGTCCTGGGGAAGGAGCTGTTGGTGTTTGGGGTTGGGTCCCAATCTGGCTTCAGATCTCCTCCAGGGTTGGCCAGCCCACTGCCATCTCCCTGCCTTTAGGGATCAGTGATGGTAGGAAGGGGGAAGAGAGAGGCTAATTAACCCAGAGGCCCATTGACTCATTTCAAAAAAGTGTGACTAATTATTTTTAACCGAGGTCCTTTTGTCCAGGGACAAAGTCAGGAGCTCTCAGCCTACTTTGACCAACATCTCTGCTTGTAACCCAGATTACCGGTAGCAAAACCAGTTGCCGTTGAGTGGACTCAAACGCATGACGACACCATATGTGTCAGAGTAGAATTATGTTCCATAGGGTTTTCAAAGCTGATTTTTTGGAAGTAGATCGCCAGGCCTTTCTTCTGAAGCAGCTTTGGGTGGACTTGAAAGGTGAGTTGGAGGTAGTATCAGGTTTCCTGGCTCCTAGTCAGCCCCTTCTGAGTGAACTGCAGGCTAGAGAGTCTACACTCTGCACCTGGCATCTATAATAAAACGAGCGCCCTGGAAGCGAACGGAGCGTTGGACCCTGAACCACAGCAGATCCCGATGCCCGCTGTCTTGTGCCTAAGTCTTCTAGCGTCTTGTGGCTGCGTAACTCCTGTAACGTGTATTTCTTAAAGGACCTCCCACAGTGCTTTGCACACAAAGTTGACCGATGATACATTTATACCTACTTATCTTCCTGATAAAAGGTGCAGACCCTGCATAAACCAATCCATGGGCCCATTTACAGTAAGAAGTAATTAGGTTTTCAGAGGAGGGGTGTGGCTACAAATTAAGTTCTTAAAACTTGGAGCCAGAAGAGCCAACACAAACACTGTAACACTTAGACCATATAATTGACCTAAAGATCAGTTTACGCGACATCATTTTTTGCTTGCTGGAGGATAATAGGAAGGCCAGATGTGCTCAGTGTAATGTATGCCAGCAAATCTGCACTGTGTTTGGTTATGCGGTTGCTAGGATGACTGGAGCCCTCACTGTATACAGGGGCCTTTATAGTTCAGTTTAATTCTCTGCAGTATTGTGTTTGGGTTTGATTCAGACCCATGATTTGGCTTTGACATCCGTTTACCTCAGTTTCCTCATTTACAAAGTATGAACGCCAATTATTTTCACACATTAGCAACGCGGAATGCTCCGGTTACATTCTAAGAAATGCGACAAGATGTCCTGCTAAGCTCTGGCTTAGCGGGATGTTAGGTGGCTTCCCTATTAGATCCTAAAATGCCATTTTGATTTCACTGATATAAATGATGTTGGGAGGATTATTAAAAATGTCCAGGCAACTCATTTTATTTATTATCAAAACCCTATGAGCTAAGTATTATCATCTTCATTATACAGAAAGGAAACCGAGGCTGCTGAACTATTTAAAAAACTTGTTGAAGATCACACAGCCAGTGCTAGAACTGGGATTAAAACCTTGCTTTGCTTGCCTCTGGAGCTCATCCTCTTTTTCACTGTATCATCCCGAATACAGACTAAAAGTGCAAATAATTTCTTGAAGGCCTTGTAGATGGTATCACACAATGGAGCATGTGGCTATACTCCGTCTTCCACACAGCTGTCAAGGGATTTCTCCAGAACATAAACCAAACAACCCAACCAGTGGAGTCAATTCTGGCTCATGATGACCCCATGTGTGTCAGAGTAAAACTGCTACATAGGGTTTTCTTTCTTTCTTTTTCTTTACAGATGTACAATTTATTGAAAGCAATTACAATTATCGGCTGTGCAACCCTACCCGTAACCAATTTGATATTTCCATCACCATTAACCATGCTCCCATTCCCCTCCCTCCTGCTCCACAGGGTTTTCAATGACTGTGATCTTTTTTTTTTTTTTTAAATATTTTATTGTACTTCAGGTGAAGGCTTACAGAACAGATAGTTTCTCATGTAACAGTAACACACATGCTGTTTTATGACATTGGTT